TGAATTAAGAAGATTATAGCTTTACTTTCATAAAAAGCTGTTTAAAAACCAAAATGGGAAATTAATATATATCAGTATTCAAGAACAGGGCTAAACAGGAAGCTCAGAGGCACAACCCTTTTGTAGAATGTGCAAGGTCCTGCTTTTAACCATTTCTATCAAATTGAAAAATTGGAATTGAATATGTAGAACAGAATATGTGAGTATCAAAAATAAACTTCACTCTAGAAAATAATATGTTTTCCTGAATAAAAGGTTAGTGGCATAAAGGAAGATAAACAGTAAGTTAGGACAATAATTAGTTGAAAAAAAAAGAAGGGGGAAAAAATCAAAATTTAGGAACACAAGATAGCAAGTTCTAATATGCAACATCTTTGGAAAGTTGTATTTCCAACTCTTTATTATTTTATTATACCTTTCATTATTATTTGGCACTTTCATAGAATTATTTAATTAATTTTCGGCCTTTTTCTCCATTGTCTTCTCTCATACTGGCATCGACTCAATGAGAATCCTTTTGCTTTCTTGTCTTCTTTGTGTGTGACCCTCAGAATTTAATTAGAGTTGCTTGTCAGTGTGTGTTGGAGACTATTAGTTAAAGCAAGGGCAATTATTTTTTGGCTCCACTAGTAAGAAAATTGCCAGCCTCCCCTCCCCTCCCCCAAAAAAAGGTTAATTGCTATGGTTTCCCTGGGAGATGTAGGCTCTCATAGGCTGTTCCCACATCCACAATGAGTTTTGAAAGGCTCAGTCACATGTTGTTCTTGTGCAGATACGTGAAGAGGCAGTGGCTTACTTGGGGCTGTAACACATATAAGAAACATGTTTCTCTATATATGTTCTGTCCTAGGTTCTTATATATTTTTGCTCCCTCATTTGAGAATTGGAGAGGTTTTATAACTGTCCCTGTTGAACTTAATTATTCTAGTATCACTTATTCTGGGCACTTTAGCCAGTTATAAGTTTCTGCATTAAACATTGCCTATGCTAGTGAGAAGCATCTCAAATAAAGGATGGATAGGGCACTAATCTACAAATATTAAAAGAAATATTTGAAAGACAAATTAACATAAATAACTGTTTAGTAAAACTATTGTAGTAAATTCTTTGCTAGGGCTCATAAAGTCTCTAGCCAAGTGCTCTTGACCAGGGTTTAAGGAACCAGCTATGAGTTCCTTAATGTGGAATGGGCCTTGAATTCAAATGAAAAGAGGTTGTTTATTTTCCATTTTTCCATAGTCTATCAGTAGATGCCTATCTTTAATCCCAGCACTAGAAAGGAATATAAGTTAGGATGAGACAGGATCTCACTGTCTTTCAGGCTGAAGATTTCACAAAGGGAAGGTGAAGGTAAGAGCTCTCTAGTGGCTTGGCTCTTTTCTTTTCTGATCTTCAGATTGAACCCCAATATCTATCTCTGTGTTTTTATTAATAGTGCTACAATACTGTTCATCGGTATATGAAAGTTTCTAGTTTTTGTGTGCCAATTTTGTAAATTTCCACTTTCTTGTCAAAGTTTATTAGCATTATGAGTTTAATAGTGGACTCTATTGTTTCTTATGTGTAGTTATGCCATACACTTTGACTTCTATCTTTCCTTTTGTAGCTCATTTCCTTCTCTTGCTTATTACTCTCATTAGTAATTCAAGCCCAGCAATTAATAGGGATGAAAGAGAGGTTTCTTACAAAACTTCCTCTTTACCCACATTCACAATATCATATTCTGACATCTGCTTCCTCACAAGTCCTTAACAGGCATTGACTACTGGCTCTCAAAGGATTGCATCTCTGGGAAGCATGCCCAGGTGGGATGAGTACCCATCAAACTGATGCCTCATGAATTTCCATAAGCCAAGCCCGAAAGACCTCCAAAGGAGGGCTGTGTTTTAGGTGCCATGAGAACTTGGAGTGTGGAAATATGTTGCAGGAAACACTTAAGGACAATGATAAGTAGCAATACAATCTCCCCAATTAAGACATAAGTGATGACCTAAGAGGGACTGAGGAATTTCTTGAGATTTTATAAGGCCTTAAAAAGAAAACCAGCCTCAAAGAGATATGCCTGAGATTCTAGTCATGTTGAGGCTGAAAATCTGCTCATGAAGCAGTAGTAAAGGAACTTATCAAATCATGTGCTTTTTAGTGCTTTTAGTTTATTGGACCAGTTTGTTTTGGTCCCTGGATGCATTAAGGGCTTGGTAGGTAGTAAGGCAGACTGCCTGGAAACATGCCAATAAAGACATGTCATGGACCATCTCTACTTCTTCTGCCACAAAATCAACCTGCTATTATGTGGATGGGCTGGTATAAGTGTTGATTAAGTAATTCCCGGACTTGGAGGGCTTTGGTAGAATACCAGACCATTTGGTTAAGGGTTTCTGCTGCACTGGCCATTCATGTCAGTGTAATCAGGGATTTTGTAGCTCTGACAATAGATGACATAATGGCAGTGATAATGGCCGCAGTGATGTGAAAGTCACATTTAAGATAAGCAAGGTGTTGTAATGAGTTTAGTCCATGACGGAAACTGTGAGCAAATGAATAGCATTAGCAGAAAGAAGAAAGAGGGCAAACACATACCAGGGTAGTCCCCCAAGTCACCAGCTTTCTATATTGGGAATCCTCAATGTGGGAATGTAGATTTGGCACTCCTCAGGGCTTGGATACTCCCTGGGAACATCATTATCATTATCCCCTTGTTGGGCTAAATATTTAAGATCTCTAGCTGGCATCCAGAGGGTCCTCTTTTCATTTTGAGGGAAGACACATCCAAACCATCTTACTGCAGTGAGGAGTGGTCTGGTCCTCTCCAGGCCCCAGTCAAGGGGTCCCTCCATCTAGGGTTGGGGTCTAGTTTAATATGGACCTCAATCAGGTTGGGCCAAAGATTTACAACATAGAGGTTATCAGAGAATAGAATGAATGTCTCTTGTATGGAATCCAATGTCATAATGGCAGCAAATAATTCTTTAAACTGTGCAGATCCCTCCACCTCATGAGAAATTGATTTTATAGACATTGGCTCCTCTCTCTGTAGGAGGCCTCCAAGTCAGTAAACACTGTAAGAAAATTGGCATTGGGTTGAGACAGAAAAAGCTTAGGGGTGGGGGCTCCACTCCAGTGCAGAAAAGAAGCTCATCCATTTCTGAGGGCCATAGTGGCAATAATTTTTTCACCAAGGGCTATGGAAATTCTACTATTATTTCTCTGAAGCCAGGTGAAATCAGTGATTTTAAATGGAAGAATAAGGAATGAGTTTCTGTGTCAAATGTCCTGACCAAAATATTCCTGCCTTTAGTTATGCAATTGACCATCTGATTGGTCATGGAATAGACCCTAGGAACTTTGCCCACTGAGAGGTGAATCCAATGAATGTGCTCCCTCTCCTGTGCTAATAATGCGATGCACAAGGTTTTCCCAGGAAAGATATATAGGAAAACAGGCAGGTCAGAATCGAAGCTCCTCTGGGATGCTGGGTCAATGTCCTGTTGTACCTGATGTAAGATCTGCCGACAGTAAAAGAATAAAGTAACTTGGGATGAGAGATCGAGGCCATTCAGGAGTTCAAACAATGGAGGCAACTGTTCCATGACAACAGATGCCCATAGCCTCATCCAATTTATTTCTCCTAGTACCTTTTGGAGTTGAGGTATGTTATAAGAATACTGAATGTGTAATAGGGGTTTGGCTGGAGACACCAAATCAAGGGACAAGATGGAACCCCAAATTTTAGAGGGAGGAATAGGCTAAACTTTATTTGGAGCCACCTTGAAGTTATTATCCTTTAGAATGGCAGGGTAATTTGCTGTGAGGTTAAAAAGGGCTGATGAAGTAGGACTTCCCAAAATAATATTAAGAAAAGAGATCACATAAGCAGGGCCCTGGCCAGATCTCTCCAGTCCTAGGCAGTGCAAAATTAATGAGCTAACGCCTGGATCATGGTTTTAGCCCATGGTGAATTTGGCCCGTCTTCAGCTACAGCTTTCTTTAAATTATTAAGATCCTGGGCTTCCCAAGGGTACCAGGCATTAGGCTGCTTACACTTGGGTTAACATTTACAGGAAACAGGTGTGCCATTTCTCTCTGTGTGCCTCCAGAAGAAGCTACCTGCCCTAGAAATCTGGAAGCAGCAACTGTCCCTACTAAATTTCTCTCCCCGATCTGAAGCTGGGGGCAGAGGGAACTCCCCTATAGGATGGGTCTCTTCTATAGCAAAGCAGTGGGGCAGAGTTCTCAAAAGGGATTCATAGACGGATCTGGAGATGAAGGGCCCCTTGAGAGCCAAGGGGCGCTATAAAAGGCTGGGTACACTGAACTAAGTTCCAAAGATTTATTGAACTAGGTTCCAAAACAGAATTTTGTTTAGTAAGGTGAGCATCCAAACTGCCTAGGCTCCCACAAAGCCAGTACGTGCAGTAGGATCAAAAACCCATTGCCATTGTTCTTGAGATCTCAGTAGTCCTTATTGTACGCTATGTTCAGCAATTCCGGTTTTACTAGACATGGATGGAGGTGGGTGGTCCTTGGACTTCCCACAGGGCAGGGAACCCTGATTGTTCTTTGGGCTGACAAGGATGGAGGACTTTACTGGGGGAGGGGGAGGGAAATGGGAGGCGATGGCGGGGAAGAGACAGAAATCTCTAATAAATAAAAAGTAAATAAATAAATAAATAAATTACAAAAAAGAGACAAGCAAAGCCCACTTCCCCTTCTGCCAATTCAAGTGGATCTTGGATCTTCCTCTTTCAGCCTGCACACTCCCTCTCTGACCCTCTTTCTGTCCCTCTTAGGAAGAGGTGGATGCTGCCTCTTCTTCTGCCTCCCCCTTCTTTCCCCCCTCCATGTTTCTCTCTGTCCTTCTCCCCCTTCCCCTTCCCCTTCCCCTTCCCTTCCATAACTAACTAAATAAACTAAACCCAAACCCTCTCTTTGCATGGCATGCCTATCCCTCTCTCACCTGCTTTGGCTCATTGTGTGACCCTCTGTCCTGCCCTGCCAATATGCCAAGGTCTCCTCCCACCAAGGGGGACCTGATGAAGCCTCTGCTCACCTGCAACTACCCCTCTTGGGACTGCCTGCCCCTCAAAGGACCTGTGCCCCTGCTTATATCTTTAAAAAGAATAACAGTGCATCTGTATGTAAAGAATATATTTCAATAAAGTGTGGTAACTGAGTACTTACTAAGAGAGTTTCTGTGCTTTAAAGTTTCCAAAATTATAAGTGTGTTTGCATTGAATTTATAGATATAATATGACTGTGGCAACCTGCAAAGTAAACATTTATAAAACATTCACATGAAGTGGGTTCATTTACATGAGGATGAAGCAAAGTCAAACCCTCACAGATCATTTACCATCCAAATGACATTCAAAATAATTATTTTGACATTTAATAGGAAATTATCTATATCAGAAAATGTGCAATACCAAGGGTTTAGAAATTTATCAGTGAAGTATTGGTACTTGTAACTTTAAGAAAGCTCATAAGAATAAACACTATCCTCATTAAAAACAGAAGTGCTTCTACCTTTTCAAATGTTCACAATTTATAACAGTGTTTGGAATCTTGCGGATAATTTGGACCCAGAAATCATGAGAATACTCTCCCAAGAATCCCAAATATTTTGAGTATTTAGAATTGAAGGAGATAACTGCAAGACAGAAAAAAAGTTTGTACATTCCATCTAGACCCTTTAAGAGACAAACTAAGACAGAAAATACTTATATATATTGCTGGGTTCATGTTGGCACAAGTTTGAGAAGAATAATAATGCAAGGTGGGGCTTTCATAAGACAAGAGATTACATTTCAAATAACAGCAATATTAAAATGAATGGCATATTATATTCACTTCAGATATGTGCTTAAGGGAAGAAAAGTGGGGGAGTCAAGGACAGGAAGGTCATTGAGACAACGAAAGAGACAGTGCTGCAGAAATGGATAATCACATTCAATTCTTAAGAGCTTATCTATCAGTCTTAATATTTTCATATTTCTTAAAGAAAGTCTCTGAGTATAAAAATCAACAATAGTGAATATCCTTTTTCATAGTCAAATTTTTATGTCACTAGTGTATTATCATTTATCTGGATAACCATCATTTTCAGTGCAACTCTGATTATCCTGGCATATTCAGAGATGTATACACCCAAAGTTCTTTTTGCTGTCATACTTAAAAAGAGTACCAGGAAGAGAAAGAAATGGATGAATGAGGTGAGGAATAAAATAACAGTTCCAGTAAGCAAAAAAAAAAAAAAAAAAAAAAAAAATCCTAGCATTGAATCATTTGTAGTGAGGCACTGAGCCACAACTATTAGTTGGAAGGAAGGTCAAATCATTTAATNAAATAAATAAAAAAGAATTTTGTTTAGTAAAGAACCGCCCCATTTTAATGGGGGTACACTCACCCACAAACTGATTGCCCATCAGCGATTCTTTCGTATTCTCACATGAGATTTTTTCATTCCTCACATGGGATTCTTTTGTTCCTGACACGGGTTTCTTCTGTTCCCCACATGGGATTCTTCTGATCCTCACACGGGGCACCAATATGCCTGGTTCTCTGGAAGAAACCTGGTTCTCAGGAAGAAAGAGGGGGCAGAACCTGACCCCTCTGACTCTACCTGGGGCTGATTGAGACAATGAGAGTCATGACTCAGAGCTCCCTCTCACCCTCCCCCCACCACCCCGCACCGAGGAGACATACACCCACTGAGTCAGGAGTAGTCAATGCAGGATCTCTTTTAATTATATAAAGCAGGGACTTATATAGGGGTGATGGGGGTGGAGAAGCCTGGGATAGGCCAAGGCAAAGCAAGGAACAGGGGCCAGTGATATTCTGCCACACTAGCAGTGGCTGGGCAGAGGGGGGTTTAGGTAGGATAGTCAGAGACAGGTCTCCAAACTCTAGCTAGTCTCGGGGGATTACATTAGACCTCATGCCAACTCAAGTTACTCTTAGAAAATTATGCTGGGCCTCATGCTCAGGCTTCATTAGGCCCAACAATGAACTCACAGTATGTATGGCAGTCTACACAAAACCTATGAAAGATAAATCCTGTAACATTCCATCATGGATATTAAAGAGGCACATGTGGTACCAATCTTAACTGAGTACTCTATGGAAGGTGATGTCTCCTAGGAGAAGAGTCAATTGTCTTCACGGATGGGGCATCTCATAGGATGCCCATCTCCAGAGGATGGCACTGTATCCACTTGTTAATGGGGAGTTTTGTACCAAATGTTTTTTTTTTTTAACAAAACAACCAAATTTAAAGGATGAACAAAAATAAATAAAGAAGATGACATGGCATTAGAAAGGCTACATATTAGAGTGCATTCCAGGAAGAAGAAAAGGGGGTAAGTGAGTGTACAGAAGGAAAAACATTATAATAATATATTGAATTCTCAAAAGATAAATTAAAAACAGTACTTGGTTTCTTAAAAACTTCAAAACATTGCATTAGAATTCAATTTCTTGATAGATTAAAGATATGGAATTTGCTGCATTGAGCCTAATTTTTAATTTTATTATATCATGCATGGCAATATTGATTATCCCCTCTAGAAAAATTGCTACCTTAAGTAATATTTAAAATTAGCTTCTATTTCTGGTATATGTTTTGTTTGCTTTATGAAATACTCTTTTGATCATTCAATATATAAAGATATTAATTATGTTTTATTTTTATGGAAAACTAAAAGTAAATTTTTTGTTAAATTAGAATTCTGACAAGGAAAGGATAAGGGGGGATATTTTAGGAAGATACAATTTGGCTTGTCAGGAGTCTCATAGGAAAAATAAGATCAATACTCTCCACAGCAGGAGATCCTTTACTGTCAGTGGAATGTGGTAATAGAGCTCTGAGGATGAAAAAAAATGCACCAACGTGTCCCAGCTTGGGCCTATGTAACGAGCAAGCTACTATTAAGAAACTAAACTAGATTCCCAAGAACTTAATGCTCTGATCAAATGCTTAAATGTCACTTTGTAGTTGCATTTCATGTGTAGCTCTTGCGCTCTTTTAACCCACTGGGCACATAAAATATGAAAATTTTGGAGAAGTATGTGACAACTTACATGTATGGTTTGTGTACTGTGCAACTAATTAGTGATCAGAAGGAAAATCAAGAACCTTCAAAAATTAAAACTCAGTATGTCAGTCCTTTTGTTTACCTAAATATCCTTGTTGTCTTGAGGATAATTATAATGAAATTAGTTTTTAATATAAGCTTACAACTTTGACTTCACAGAAATCCTCTGCATCTGTGTTCTCATTACTGGATACACAATTAATAAGTTATCACATCTGAATAAATTACTTTCTTCTTTCTCTCTAGTTTTCTGTTCCTTAATGATACTATTCTTATTTTACTTATTTTTCTAAAATTCTTGAACATAATGTACATTGTACAAAGCATACCCATATATGCTTGTGCCATTTAAAACAAGTTCCTCCTCATCTTAACACATTTAAATTATTTAAAGGTTTATTTTAATTTTATGTATATAATATATAAATAGGCATACACAAGGGGGATGTGATTATAATACTTAATAATGTGATTGTACTCAGCAGCATGGTGGGTGGGCCCCCAGACCCCCAGGAAAGGAAGCCTCAGCAGTGAAGTGGGCTTCTGCAACAGCTGTGTCTTCCTGATATTGACCACCTGATTCCCAGCCTCAAACTCGACTGTAACTGGAGGAGCAACCATTGTAGCAATATCTATGCCTGCACCAGGAGGAGTTACTGTATGAGCCATGGGCCTGTAAGCACCTGAAGGAACGATTACAGAAGACTCTGCCCTGGTTATACCTTAAGGACTATTCCAGGGAGATACAGCCTCAACCTATATCAATCGGACGAAGAGACATGCCTGAAACACAGGCCCCAACTCTTCCAATTAGAGGAAGACATGGATATTATAACAGGGTAAGAATACAGTCAACTGCCTTTTCGTCAATTTGGCGCCGAAAGCGAAGAAGGAAGCTCCCGCCCCTCCAAAAGCCGAAGCTAAAGCGAAGGCCTTGAAAGCCAAGAAAGCAGTGCTGAAAGGCGTCCACAGCCACAAAAAGAAGATCCACACATCGCCCACCTTTCGGCGGCCCAAGACCCTGCAGCTAAGAAGGCAGCCTAAATACCCCCGGAAGAGCGCACCCAGGAGGAACAAGCTTGACCACTATGCCATCATCAAATTCCCCCTGACCACCGAGTCAGCCATGAAGAAGATAGAAGACAACAACACACTTGTGTTCATTGTGGACGTCAAGGCCAACAAGCACCAGATCAAACAGGCTGTGAAGAAACTCTATGACATCAATGTGGACAAAGTCAACACCCTCATAAGGCCCGACGGAGAGAAGAAGGCTTATGTTCGGTTGGCTCCTGATTATGATGCTCTGGATGTTGCCAACAAGATCGGAATCATCTAAACTGAGCCCAGCCCGCTAATTCTAATAAATACACTTTTTCACCAAAAAAAAAAAAAAAAAAAAAAAAAACCATAAAGAGCAACACAGCACCACCAGACACTGGTAGTTCTACAACAGCAAGACCTGAGCATTCTAACACAGATGAATGATCTTAAAAATAATATTATGAAGATGATTGAGGCCCTTAAAGAGGAAATGAAAAGTTTCCTTAAAGAAGTAGAGGAAAAGGCAAACAAAGCATCAGAATAAATCTCTTAAAAAAAAGCAGAAAAAAACCATCAAACAGGGGAAAGAAACGGTTCGAAATTTGAGATGGGAAATAGAGGCAATAAAGAATACATAAACCAAGAGAAATCTGGAAATGGAAGACTGGAAAAACTGAATCAGGAGCTGCAGAAGCAGACATAAAAAATGAATACAGGATATGAAAGGAGAATCTCTGGTGTTGAAGATACAATTGAGGAAAAACGTACATCTGTCAAAGAAAGTGTTAAATTCAACAAATCCTTAACACAAAATATCCAGGAAATCTGGAGGTTATGAAAGAAAAAAAAAAGCCTAAAAGTAATAGAAATTGAAAGAAAAGAAGTTCAGCTCAAAGGCACAGAAAATATATTCATCAAACTCATTTTAAAAAATCTTTCCTAACCTAAAGGAGGATATGCCTAAATGTAAGAGCCTACAGGACACCAAATAGACTATAGACTGGACCAATAACAATTCCCCCCCACCACATAATAATCAAAACACTAAACATATAAAATAAACAAAGAATATTACATACTGCAAAAGAAAAAGGTCAAGTAAGATATACAGGCAGACATTACATTGAATTACATTCAACTTGTCAGTTGGAAACAATGTTTTAGTTAATGGAGTCCTAACTCTTAACAAAGATGTTTTGTAAAACACACAAAAATATCTAAATAAAAAAATCATCAGTATTACTCAATATTTGTATATTTTTGGCTAGTTTATCATTAGAAGTTTATAAATGTATATAATTATAATTATTTATTTTATTTGGGGATTTTAGGCACAGCTATCGGCTAAGGAAAAGTTAAACTTGAAATCTTAGTGAATAGATTCATTACATTTTATTTTTTTTAAGTATGTGTTATCATGAATTAGCTGTGGCAATTCTCTTGGATCACTTTTCTCTGCATGGCAGACTTACGGAGGGCTGAAATTTAACATTTGATAGCTGAACATTAACAAATGAAATTAACTGTGAATTTTAACAAAGTAATATTGAAAAGTAAAATATGACACCTGACACTTGCTAATCACTAAGATTTTTTTTTAAAGCAATAGCTGTCCTAGGATGAAATAGGAAAACTCACTGTTTCTCTTTTAGAGACACATGTAGCTGCAAAAAAAAGGGGCAATTCTGTTTGTTAATATAGGAAAAATAAGAAAAAAATAATTAGCAAATATAAGATCAGTGGTATAGAGGAACTGGATAATATATGCTTAGTAATAACTGATTTGGAACAATTTTTAATACTTAGGCAACCCGGGGAAAAGCTGTGAGTGCAGGAGAGAGGTGAAATGCCATATGTCCTAGTTAGCAGATTCTCCAAGTTGACGTTTTGGCATTTCAGCATGTGGTGCACAGGCTTTACACCAGCCCACTGGGAACCGAAGAGGTGAAATTTGAAACTTAGACAAAGGTTTTCATGGTGACAGAAATATAGCAAATGCAAGGCAGTAAAGATTAGACTGTGGGTGTTTCCACCCCTCTATCTGTTCCAAGAATTTCAAATAGGAGAGAGCGCCAAATGATGATGGAAAGCTAGACTCCAGAAATAATACTTTGTGGAAAGTTACATGGTCTATTTCTAAGAGGAAAATGTGACAGCCACCATATCAGGGCATGGAATTATCTCCTTAGTTTAAGTTTTTGAAGCACCGTAGTCTTGTTCCCTGAAGGTTTCTGACACTGAAGTCAAAAGTCTTTTGCTTTACAGTGAAAAGAAACCTTAGGCAGAATACATTAATACATTATTGAAAGACAGAAGGAGAAAAATATGTGGGTATCTTAAAGTTTACAGTTATTCAAAGTTTTATGATTAAATCTGTCAGATTATGCAATTAAAATATTTTGATAGACTCAGGATTTTTGAATAGTCACACATGGACAAAAATGTGCTTTAAAAATCATCTTCCTTCCTTTTTTTTTCATCAAGAATACACAGACCTGTAGCTTTTAAATACACAAACATTTCAAAAAGCTTGTAGTCCTCAGTGTAGAAGAATAGTGGAAATCTGAGGTTCTTACCAGCCTTTTAAACACTCGAAAGTAACATTTGTGAATGAAAGGACCTTTAAAGAAGTCGCCATTCTATTTTCATCATTTGTATACATGTGCATTGCTAAAGCATAATTTATTAGAAGAACCTTGTCAGAGCAGCACACATTTACCGAGGCAAATGATGATCCTAGGGCAATTTCCTTATCCTCATGATTTAGGGATGAGGTAATTGAAGTCTATCTGGATAAGGGAAACAGAATGTACTATTTAATCTATAATATTAGTCAGGATCTTGAATATTTCACTTTTAATAGTCACAGCATAATATATTGAAACACTTTTTTAAGCTCTGGAAAAAAAGGGGATGCTGTCCTCAGAAAATTTCATCCAGGGGCCATTTCAAAGATAATGCATTTATCACATTATCATCTAATGAATATTTTTCCCAATCCAAAGTAAAACAATAAAAATGAATCATAACTATTATAGATGAAAACCAAGTAAAATGGGCTCATTCTTTATTTGCTAAGACTGTCTGAAGTATTCATAGTCTTGACATATACCTGTTGTGTATTGTTCTGGCTCTCATATATTGTCTAAATTTAGAGTGCAATCAGATTAGTTCAACAGTGTCTCCATTGAAATTATTTATGTCCCCATTCCTTTGTTTGGCCTTATTGGTACAGCAATAAATCAGAAACCATTGCTACTTTCGATATCTCTAGAGGAAGACTGAAATACATTTATTGTAGCATAAGGGTTGCATTTTACTAAGGAAGTCTGCTTCACTCTTGAACATTTCAAGCTTCCTCTCAGATTCATCTGTGACATTCTCTGAGGCTAAAGCTCCCTCTTCCCAGATGGACACATCTAGTTCTTTAAATCCTGTGTTACTAGATTCACTGACAGTCCTTGACTCTAGTTAATCTATATTAAAGGCACATTCCTAATCTCTAAACACCCCAAGTGATTAATAGTCACTTTATGAAATTGTCACTTCTGTTCATTTAAAAACAGCACACTGCTGACCCAAAGTAACTTACTGTAATTTTAAAATATTTCGAAAAAAACATGCATATGCAATTCACTGCTTCCTTAATGAACATAACAAAATATATAACAGGCTTTGGACAAATAATGGTAAATTTGGGTTTGTAGATGAACCTCAAATGGAGTTTTTATTTCGTTTGAAAGGAAACATGTGATTCCCTATCAATAAGTGTTAATATAGATGATAGATGGATGATAGATAGATAGATGGATAGATGATAGATGATAGATAGATAGATAGATAGATTAGATAGATAGATAGATAGATAGATAGATAGATAGATAGATAGATAGATAGATAGATGCGAATGAAATGAAAGTGTCTTGAAATTTGGAAGGAAAGAAACCCTGAATTGATGAACATATGAACACATTTAAATTCAAATCTCATATTTTTGGAATGTCTACCCATGTGCCAAGCATTGCACTAGGAACCACAGGAGATGTATTTCAGAAAGGAAGATATCATAACAGAGTCACAGCCATGTTGGAGCTTGGTAAGAAACAAGAGTGAACATATTATATATGCAATTACACAGAGCTTCTGACAGAACTCCTCAGAATGTGAATTTCAAAGCTCTAACAGCCAAGTTGAGCCCTCAAAACCAAATAATACTTAACAGGCAGCAAAAGTAGTAATAAAGAATAAAAGAAAGATAAATACAAGTTTTCTACATACTTTGGAAAATGACCTAACATTATCAGTTCTATATGCTAGACATTATCATCTCTCAATTGCCTTTTTAAATTCAAAATCACACAGTACACACTTAAGCCTTCTGTTTAGAATCTTGCAAAGCTAAGATCCACTGAGATTGGATCATTGTTATGAGACTCAGAAGGAGATAAGTCTTTCAGGCTGCTACATATGTACACAGATCTTAACAGGCAAAGAACTATAATCCTTAAATCTTACTATTTACCTTCTTTAAAATGAAATTATTTTTAATTTATTTGATCACCAGTTAATAAAAAGGGTCTCTGATATTAATAATGAAAACTATTTTACTTTGAGCACACCCAGATAACCTAATACATTTATCCAATTTCAAAACAGTGTATAAGTCATTTGTTTTGTATGTGTATGTGTGTTGTGTGTGTGTATGCGTATATTGTGTGTGTTTGTGTTTTGCTTTGATACTTAGAAATAATGGAAGTGCAGCTCTGCATATAGCATTTCGTTTCTGAAGTTTCTAGGAATCTTCAAGTTCATGGTCATTTGCTAGAGAAAGGAAACCTATCTTTCAGGATTCGATACTAAAAAGTTTAGATTGAAAACATGTCTTCCTTATTAAATACTTTTGAAATAAAAGGAGGTTAAACTGATTTTTGATGATTCAAACTGAAGCCTATATGTTTTATTTTTCTCTGAGAAATTAGTCATATACAACATTTCATAAATTAATTTTTAAATTAAATGAGTTTTAAGCATGAATTTTACTACTAACTTCATAAAATGTCTCATTTTAAAACACGAGCTTTCTAGAGTATCATTCCCCCTCTCTTTTGCTCTATCTCTTGTTCTTTGTATGCATGCAAATATACATGCACAAGTATGTAATTGTGCATATGTTTGTGTATTTTTTGTGGGCATGTTCCTCCGCATTCATTTCTTACAACCTGAAATAGTTGTCCAGGAGAAAAGGGGAGAGTTCAGGTGCATTCAGTAGTAAATAGGAGGCAAACTAAAGGTCAC